CTCTTTATTCGAAGTCAGAACCCCTATAGTTTTCAGCTGTCTGGGGAAAAGCACAAAAGGGGGGTATAATGGCTATGAAGAGAATCTCAGTTGCCCAAAGGACCCAGAAATAAAGGGTTAACCTTTCGGGGCCATGACTAAAAATGGAACAACATTGGGAAGCCTAAAGGTCAAAAGGTCGATTCGCTTTTGGCAACTGAGGGGTACATGTGGAACAGGTAATGGTAGTAAAGCTCTTGGAGTCAACGAAATAGCTGTGCTCTGCCATGCTGCTTGCCGGACATCTGGTGCAGACTCGTTTCTCCTGAAGTGCCGAACTTCCAAGTCCTGCAACGCGCTTGCTCAGATTCAAGGAACCCATTCCTCCCCCTACAACAAGAAAGCAAGACCCCCACCATGTGGTGGGTACCTAGCGCCATATTCGCAACGACCCTCATTTAGGCTGCTGCTGTTTGGAGAGTTCAGCGCTGCTTTTCGTGAACTTGACATGTCCACGTACCTTTTGGCACCAGATTTGGGCTTGAGGCTTGACCCTAGTCTCTGGAGTTGTGCCTTTGGGGTCACAGGTTCCCTTGGCCAGGAAAAAGAACCCCCTACAAACGGATGCTGCTGGACAGCCTAGGACCCCCTGCCTATTCCCAAAGGCGGCACGTTTTTTGCTTTTTTGTTTTCTTCGGGAGCTGGAACGCTTGGGTTCGTGAAGGGCGCCATCAAGATCAGATTGCGTTCTTTTGTTGTTTTCTGGGGAGAGGTTTGCTTTGTTAGGACACACCCATATGAGCAACGGACTCTGGGCAGTCTGCTTCCCATTGGTCTGTGGGGTTATAGCCATGATATCTTTTTTTGAACACTTTCCAGCATCACCAAAAAGACTCACTTCACACGGGTCTGTGTCTAACGAAGAAACCCTCACAATGGGCGGTATCCCATGGATTTCTCGGAAAAGCTCCTCGAAAATGAGATACATCCATCCAGGTCTGCGCGGCTGATGTGCGGCCAACATAAGAGCAATCGGAACAACTTTGAGATACATCTACGACGCTGCAGATGAACGGATGGAACCCAGTCTAGGAACGGAAAGCCAATTTAGGGAAGGATCCTTTTCGGGGATACCCCATGTTGATCTGTAGGGAGTAAGGGCAAGGATTCCTTTCTGATCACCCATCGTAAGGTCAAACACAGGCATTTGCCTCTCCGGCTGTTTGGCACTTAAAGCAATAGTTGAACAAGGCCATCTTTCTGAATTCCGGTGTTGTGTTCCAAGTCGACCCCAGGCTGACCCTCAATTCCAGCTGAACTTGCTCTAGCATTTCCAGGGTTGCCAAACCTTCCAAACATCTCAGATTTGGGATTTGCTTGGCCTTCGTAAGGTATCTTTGGGCGGGTGGTCTAAAGCCAGCAAAGCACGACCGTACATGCAGTTCTGGGTCCAAAGCAGCCTTGACTTTGTATGATATTCGTACCGTCCTTTTGTTCACTTGTCAGAGGCGCTACCAGAAAACGCACAAACACACAAACACAAATCGGTCAGGACCGTATCGAACAAACAGGGCAAGAAAACAGCACCTAACAAATAGAAGGGCATGCCGACCTGTGGATCGACAAACTCCTGCACCAATTGGTCTGTGGTCTATCCCAAATAGGGCTTCATCATTCTTCAACCTTTTGCAACTGGTGCCTGGCGCGGATTTTGTCCATTCAGCTTGTCTTTCAGTCCGGAAGCTGCAAGTCTCATGTTCAGATCCGTGCTCCGCCTAAGTCTGCTATTCTTTTCACGAAAGCCTTCAGGCCTGCAGTGGCCATGGGTCGAATGCAGGGGTTGCCTCCCTCCCAAAAATCCGAAGAAAAAGAACAAACTGCAACATCTGTCTCTGGATTTGCTGAGTTCAAAGGGATTTCCCCCCCCCCACAAACATAGAAAGAAGGAAATGGCCCCATTCTCCGTCCTCAGAGCAGATCAGCTCCAGAAAGGTGTTCCGCTGGAAAACCCAGAAGTTTGCCATCCACGCGAACCGCACGTAGGTGCTGACACACTCTTGGAGAAGTGCGAATCGCTTGAGAAATGGCGGAGGGGTACAAACACAGGTGAATCCAAGTGAACCGACCACATCCAACACAGACTCTGGCAAAACGGGAGAAAATGCAGAGTTGCCAGCTTCTTCGCCGAGTTGAACTCTTTCTGGGTCAGATATGCTTCACACGCAACAAGTCCTCCAAGTGAGGGACTTTCATAAACAATGTTGGTCCCCCCACCCCTGGCAATGGGTTAAGCTCCTGAGAGTTTTGTCCGCGGCTAGCATCGAACCCCAACCACCCCATAAGAGTTGAGTCCTTGCCTGCATGCACTTGAAGCATTCACCCACCCAATGTCCCCACCAACTCTCGGCATGGTTGCTTTCAGCTTGATCATCACTGCCGGCTCGGGCCACTTCTGCACACTTTGCCCACTTCTCTCATGTCACAGGTCAATGACGCCCCTCCTTGCACGAACAACCGCCAAGACATCCGCATCAAGCGATCAAAGCAGCGTAGGACACCCTTGCAAATCAGCCAGCTGATCCATGACTCTCTCAAAGTGTCCTCGGTCAGTGGTTGCTGCTTCAGTTCTCATCCTTCTCAGATGCCAGCACTACCAGCTCTGCCCGCACTGCCTACACGCATGATCCACACGAGCACGACAAAACAGCCAAAACAAGCAACAACTGGCATGCACGAGCACCAACGCGAAACACGGCTGACCCATGCCAGCATGCAGTTGAAGCATTTACTCATCCCAACTAGGCGACTTTCCCTCCCGCAAATTGGAAATTTGTGCCAAGCGAGCTACACAGCTCAGGTAATCGAACCATTCAATGTCCCCACCAATTCTCGGCGTGGTTGCTTTCAGCTTGATCATCCCTGCCGGCTCGGGCCACTTCTGCACACTTTGCCCACTTCTCCCACATGACTCAGGTCAATTACGCCCCTTCTCGGCACGAACAACCGCCAAGAAATCCGCATCAAGCCCGATCAAAGCAGCGTAGGACACCCTTGCAAATCTGCCAGCGGATGCATGACTCTCTCAAAGTGTCCTCGGTCAGTGGTTGCTGCTTCAGTTCTCATCCTTCTCAGATGCCAGCACTACCAGCTCTGCCCGCACTGCCTACACGCATGATCCACACGAAAACGACAAAACAGCCAGAACAAGCCACAACTGGCATGCACGAGCACGCCAACGCGCAAAACACGGCTGACCCATGCCTCATCCCAACACTGCCCGACTCTCCCTCCCGCAGATTGGTGGCAGGAAGGCCACGCAAAGCGAGCTACACAGCTCAGGTAATTGAACCATTCAATGTCCCCACCAATTCTGGTTGCTTTCAGCTTGATCATCCCTGCCGGCTCGGGCCACTTCTGCACACTTTGCCCACTTCTCCCACATGACTCAGGTCAATTACGCCCCTTCTCGGCACGAACAACCGCCAAGAAATCCGCATCAAGCCCGATCAAAGCAGCGTAGGACACCCTTGCAAATCAGCCAGCTGATCCATGACTCTCTCAAAGTGTCCTCGGTCAGTGGTTGCTGCTTCAGTTCCCATCCTTCTCAGATGTCAGCACTACCAGCTCTGCCCGCACTTCCTACACGCATGATCCACACGAAAACGACAAAACAGCCAGAACAAGCTACAACTGGCATGCACGAGCACGCCAACGCGCAAAACACGGCTGACACCGCTGACCCATGCCAGCATGCAGTTGAAGCATTTACTCATCCCCAACTAGGCGACTTTCCCTCCCGCAGATTGGTGGCAGGAAGGCCACGCAAAGCGAGCTACACAGCTCAGGTAATCGAACCACTCAATGTCCCCACAAGCTCTCGGCGTGGTTGCTTTCGGCTTGATCATCCCTGCCGGCTCGGGCCATTTCGGCACACCTTGTCCACTTAGGTCAATTAAGCCCCTCCTCGGCACGAACAACTGCCAAGCAATCCGCATCAAGCCCGATCAAAGCAGCGTCGGAAACTCGTCGTGCTGCATCAGAAAACCAGCTGGTCGACCCATGACTCTCTCAAAGTGTCCTCAGTCAATGGTCCTTCTCGGTTTACTTTCGGGTGTGTCTCTTTTCTGGGAGGACCCCTCAAAATGTGCGGCTGGTGTTCGTTTTGCTGCCCCAGAAAGTATCTGCTTCCCTCTACTTCATAATTTGGAGTCCGGCGGATTGGTGTTCCCAGGGTAGTCTTCCATTTGCTCCAAGAGAAGTGAACTCCTTTGCTCTTAAGGGAATCATAGCCAAATGGAACCCGTTTGCTACCGCAGCTTTTGCCACCAACCAAGCATATCATGTCTACTTCTAATCCATATTCTGTCAACCTTGCAATGTACACACAGGGATCCTACTATTTCAGTTTGGACAGGCCCCAGCGACCCCCTTGGTAGAAGAAGACTTTAAACGATTGAGTTTTGGTTGGCTGACCACTTTTAGTGGAGAGTCCAGCAACCAAACAAGACGAGAATACCACTGAACCATGATTGAGGATCTGCAAGCCATAGCTTAAATCCTGATGGTTAAGCCTTACTGTCAATCTGAAAACTTCCCAGAAACAAACCCCGAAAAGGGGAGCACCACTAAGAACAATAAAGTGAATGACTTGATGTTCATGAATGGTTGGCTTTCGCAACCAGTGCCATGTCAATTGGGGGAGAACCACTGCTGCCAATCGGGGGCTAAATAAAAGGACAAAGCACCTCCTTAGAAGGTACCGTAAGACCCTTTCAGTCGGAATGATCATTTTCATGCACCTATTTTTTAATATTAGGCAAATTAGCCAAATCCCGTGAATTTCCAGAACAAGGCTCCAACGGGACACTCATGTAGTTTTCAATAACTGGCGTAGTGATGGTTCAAGGCTCCGACGCCAAACCCACGTGAGCCCACATTTGCAATGGGATTTGTGCAACTACAAGCAACCTTTGAGAGAGCTCCAGTCTTGTCGGACCCCTGCTTGGACTGGTAAACCGGTCCTGGCGCACCTGACATAGCTCGCGCCATTTGGCATAGAGATTCTTGCAGATTTGCTCGAAAGTGGTCTCCTTGTCATCTCGCCTGAAGCAACCGGTTGCATCCAGTCGGGGCACTTCGGTCATCGTCGTCCCTTAAAAATAAAAGCGATCAAATGTTGGATTGCATGGCGGAAGAAACCATATTGCCTAGAGGGCGAAAGGTCGCAACAAGGAGGCGAAGGAGGTTGGTTGGGGAAGGAATCTCTGGTGAATTTTCTCGGAATACTCCGCATAAATCCGCACGCAGTTGATGGGGCAGGAGCGGGGACTGGATAGCCGAAACATTCCTGTCATGGGTGGCTTCCTGCCAGCAGGGAATGTGGGAATGAACTCAGGATTTGGTCCCCTTAAAGATCGCACCAGCAAGTTGGTCAGATCATTGGACCCTTCTAATGGGGAAGGTCATCAGCGGTCAGAATCTCGGCCGAGATGGCCCCCTGTCAGGTTCCATGTTAATTGGTGGGAGGGCATCACTAAAACTAAGATGGTCTTCCCGAAAAGTTTAAACTCCAGGAACTCAGCAAGCGAGTGGAGGATTTGGGGTCCACCCATCCGCCCACTCAGCCCACTCAGCCCCCATGCCGGGCCCTAAGCTTCTGCCGCTCCTCCCGAAGTGCGCTTATCGACCAGGCGCTTGAAAGGGCGAAGTCAAAGGATGGACGGGTTTCCAAAAGGGAAACAGGTTGAACTCAATCGGTCGCGGATGATCAACTTACAGGGGGACCGATGACAAAGAAGGGGCGGGGGTGAAACCAAAGGAATACCAGAACGCATGTGTCAAAACCACTGCTTAGCAGTGTTGTCACTTGAAAGGCGATTAAGGTTATGTTTTTTTTAGCCAGCCAGAGACTGGAAATGTTGAAATATTTATTTTTTCAAAAAAATATCGATTTGGTTATCCTCAAACCTATCCAAAAATCATCCTACAATCATCCTCTGCAAAAAACATCATCGAAAAATCATCCTCTCCCTCCTCCTTCATCCCTCCTCCACATCGCTTCTATTCTCTGCGTTTCCATTTTCCTTTCCTTCCCGTTCCTTCCCGTTCCTTACCCTTTTCCATTTCCCTCTTCTTGTTTCCATGTTCCATCTCCTTTCTCTTTTTTCTCTTCCTTGTCCTCTCCAATTCTCTTTGCCCTGCCCTGTTCCTTCTTTCCCTTTTCATTCTTCCTCTTCCTGAGACTGACAGGAAAAGCAAAAAGTTGCAAAACCCTCATGTTTTTTTCAAAAAATCATCGAAAAATCATCGAACAATCTTCGAAAATCATCCCCAACCCACATTTTCTGGACCAAACCCCCTTCACAGTGGTCAGGAAAGCAAAAAGTTGCAAAACCCTCCTGTGTTTTTCAAAAATCATCGAAAAATCTTCCCCAACCCACATTTTCTGGACCAACCCCCCTTCACAGTGGTCAGGAAAGCAAAAAGTTGCAAAACCCTCCTGTGTTTTTCAAAAAATCATCGAAAAATCATCGAAACATCTTCGAAAAATCATCGAAAAATCTTCGAAAAATCATCCCCAACCCACATTTTCTGGACCAACCCCCCTTCACAGTGGTCAGGAAAGCAAAAAGTTGCAAAACCCTCCTGTTTTTTTCAAAAAATCATCGAAAAATCATCGAAACATCTTCGAAAAATCATCGAAAAATCTTCGAAAAATCATCCCCAACCCAAATTTTCTGGACCAACCCCGGTCAGGAAAGCAAAAAGTTGCAAAACCCTCCTGTTTTTTTCAAAAAATCATCGAACAATCTTCGAAAAATCATCGAAAAATCTTCGAAACATCTTCGAAAAATCTTCGAAAAATCATCCTGACCGGAATCCATCTTCAAAAAATCATCCAACAAATTATCCTGCCTGACATCAACCTTCCAAAAATCATCCTCCCTATTTTCCTCCCCTGTTCTCCAGCCTGGAACACGATTTGAAACGAGCTTCAACACAGCCACCGTCAGACATTTCTTGCGCAAAATGGCTCCAACTAAATTGGTTCATGGCTGAAGCTGAAGGAAACCCACCAAAGCAAGCCAAGCAAAGCCAAGCCCAGCAAATCAAAGCAAAGCAAAGCAAGCGAGCGAAGCAAAGCAAAGCAAAGCAAAGCGAGCGAGCGAGCAGGCAGGCAGGCAGGCTTGAGGATAATGAAAAACGATGAGGATAAAAAAATGATAATCTGGAGGATAATGACAAACGATGAGGATAAAAAAAGGATAGTGTTGAGGATCATGAAATCGATGATTTTTTGAAAAAATAAATATTTCAAGACACCTCAGTGTGTGGCTGCAAAAATGTCATAAGATTAAGGAGGGAGCCACCACCTTCAAAGGAGGGGGTGGAACAAACCTACATAATCAATCCCTGCATCAAGTGGGGCATTCCCAAAATCAACCGGGGGGGTCTTAAAGCCTGGGTCCCATTGCATGTTGCGAAGATGAACCACTAGGGATGGTAACTCCGAACTCAAACAGATTGAACTCAAATACAGTGGGCTTGTCCAGGGATGGGATCTGAGGTGCACAAGGATCTCAGCTTGAGCCAATGAAAAACCAAGTATCTGATTGAGACTCCACAAATCAAGCAGTTGATTCCTTGGAGGTACCCTCCCAGCTAACCTCGAACCTCCGACGATGGAATGATCTTCCACCCTCCTGACGTTCACGTTGGTCGGAAAGCACGCCCCTTTCTAGAGGACGGTCAAACCTATTTCAGCCAGAGTCAATATGGGAATGTCAGCTCTTTGCAGAAACACCTTTTTGGCGGATCTCAAAGGGAAAAGCAAAGAACCACCATTTTGGGGCTCTCCAAAAATACACGCCCATATTCATTGTGGGCCCAACTGAAATTGGATTAACCCCATTTCCTGCCTTTTTTTTGGCTAAGTGTGCCCCAGGTGATCCCCCAGTAGGTGACAGTAAGACCGTAACGGCCACGAGGCTGTCCTGCAAGTTACCCCGGTATGCCTCGCGCGCTGCAGCGAGGACGTGCTCCACCGGCTGCGGCCGGGTCTCTTCCTGACATCGTGCGCGCCTTCTCCTTACAGCCCCAGGGCGGACAAATTTCTGCACCATGGCCATCTTAGGGGGGGGCGATTCCTACTGTGGATGGTTGCGAAATCCATTTCGCACCACCTAAGCCCTGGAATGATGATTCCCGTGTAAATGCCAACCAACAATGGTTTACCATGTCTTCAAAGTGGCGCGGGATTTCGTCCATCCGCAGTGTTTCAAGTGCACCGCGTCATGGCCATGCTTCCCTCACAATCCTTGACCCAAGTTTTAAGGGATCCACCATCCCTAGGGTCGACTCGAAACCAAGCCTCCGTAACTTATGAAGCCACCGTTGGTAAACTCAACCAGGAAAAGAAAGCCTGTTCTCTACAGCCCCCCCATGCAAAGTGAACACGAAGGAAGCACAAAGTAATCAAACATGCAAGCAACACACCCAGAAATACTTCTTATCTACGCCGCATTTTTGTTGTACCTCCCAGAGTTGAAAGGCCAAGCAGGAGTCAATGGGGTTCCCCTTCAAAAGTTGCAATTCACTGGTGGTTTCCATGGAAACTGCCACTTCTGGAGGGTTCAAAAGGAGAAATGACACCCTGCCAAAGTTCACTTCAAAGCTTTGCATTCTGAAGTGCAGGTTGCCCATTTCCGACAAAACCTCTCTTGGTCAAACTGGTCCTTCAGCGGACCAAAAGTCGAAGCCAGCACATCGAAATTTGCCCAACAGAATGCCACAAGCCAATTTCACAAGCGTATGGAACAAACAGCTTCACATCCTCCCAACAAAATACAAACATTCGGGCAAGCGCGTTTGAAGGCAACACAACATACACAGGAACAGCACTTTTTTTGGCACAGGACGGCTGGATGACAATGTGAAAACAAAGGGGGCCCCTTCAAGCAGGTCTCTAGCAGCACATTTCCGCGTAGACCCCAGGCCCTTCCCGCACTCTCCTCCAGCAGGGCAGCGCGCAGCGGTCGGCACTGCTCCACAAGGGCGTCCAGGCCTGTTGGTTTCGAACATCTGGAGGACGACGGAAACTCATGGGGGAAAGCAAGGCCTGAAACTTCATAGAGCCCGGTTATCTTCCAAAGGGATCGGTCCAAAAGGCAACTTCTGAGATGAAAGGGGTTGCGGTTCTGCAATTTACTGATCGTTGGTTGAAACTACTTGGGGAGTGGATGGAAGTGGAGAAGACATGAGATTTCAGCAGCCAAAGCAGGAAAGGAAACTGAGGGGAACAATTGCCTCGCGGTGGACAGCTGCAGGCCTTATTGACCTGATGCTAGCCGTCCAAAACCTCAATTGTTGGGTATGGACGATGAATCCATGGTGGAGCGAGGCGGGAAGCGACGCGCAGAGAAGGAGCTTGATAGAAGAGAAGTGGAAACGGAGAGAGACGGGGGGCACTTTGGGGGATGGACGTTTTGGGGATTTCCTGGAAGGGCGCTCGGAGCCGTCTGGCGAAGGGGGGACCGCTCCAGGTTGAACGAAGCGTTGTTTCACCCCGGCGTGGTTAGTTGTTTGATTTTTTTTTGGGGGGGGGGTAGCACACAAGGACACACAATGGTCGAACAAAGGGGCGGTGGGGGGGACTTTCGACCAACAGTAGGCACAAAAAGCATACAATTCCCTCAGCGTTGGTGCCAAGCAAACTTGGAAGGTTCGACGCTTTGGGATGCAACGTTGACCGGAAGGCAGAACCCCTTGACTATTAATACGCGGTGTCCCCTTTTCATAATAGTGGTTCATGACTTTTGGAGGGAACACCCCCCCCCCCCAATAGGACAGGTGTTTCTTTTATTCCGGGGTCATCACTGTTCAAAAGGGAGGGTTGGCCTGCTGAACTCTTGAGAGAAATTAGGTGGGCAGTGGTTGTTCCTTCCGCAACCGTTAGCCCAAGGCAAGGACCTTCAGTATTGCCTTACTTGGATGTTCAACCAACTTAGTGGGGAGGTTGTAAGCATGGCTAAAAGGGGACCAAATCCAGTTTCCCTAGTTGTAGCCATGGCTATAACCTACTTGCCAAGTTGGCTCAGCACCCAAGTAGGCAATATTAAGCAAACGAGGTCCAACCAAAACGCTTCCACGACAAAAGCGTCCAGCCGAAAAGCCACCCCGCGGCAACAGCAGGGCTGGGCTGTTGCCCCCCGAATCTCCTTGGAAAACGAAAGTTGCTTTTGCTCGACCCCTTGGAAACTGCTACCCCCCAGGGTGCAGTACCTCATAAGGATGTACTTCGACCCCTTTGCCCCTTAAGTGCATCCAGAAAAGATACTTGGACCCTCTGGATGCTAAGGTTCCCTAACAGGCTTGAAAGCTTTAGCGAGCTAAGACCGCTAGCAACCCAAAGCGCAAAAGCTCAGACAAACGACCCTCTCTCACCAAACGGGAACCCCTACTTCCCAGCAACAGGGGCTCGGAGGTGACTGACATGGAATCCGCCTTACATCCCTGGTGCTACGGCATTCTTTCATTTCAATATACTTCATGTGCATGATGGTAGCCCCTGAATCGGTCCTGTTCAATTTCGCCAGGCCGTGATGCATGACATGTGAAAGCGGGGCATGCATCATGAACCACTTGCCTTGGAGGCCAAAATAGGCCAAACCTGCAGAACCTGCAGAAGGTCAAGAGGCCGATTCGCTTGGAAATTGGCAAAGCTGCACACCCAGCAAAGAGAAAGCAATCAGGCACCTCTGGAGCAGCCAGGGTGGGATCCGGATCAGTCTTGGAGATGGCACACAAAATATGGGTAGAGTTTTTCTTCACCTTCTTCGTATGTTGTCAAGGCAACACACATATGCGATAAAGCCAGGAATTGCATTCCTTAAGCTGGTGGTTGCCAGGCCACCCAAGTTCGTGGCCAGACTCATGCAGGGGGAATGATGAAAAGTCAACAATGCTAATTAAGGAAAAGCAAACGGGGAAAACTCGCATATGGGTGTGTCGTTTCTTTTGAGGGTCCCAGTGTTTCTTTTGTTTGTTCTGTCTTCTTCTTTTTGTTCTCCCCTTTTTCCGGTGTTAAAGGAAACCAAAGAAAAACAAAACACCATGGGGTTGCACAAACAAAAAACACGAAGCAGCCGCATAAGCCAAGTCTGGCAATCAGTAAAACAACCTATCTCCGATCATGGGCGCCCCGGCGGCTGTCCAGTTGCCCTGTCACGTCCCCGTCCAGCTCTCGCGAGTATCGGTGAAACAGCTCCTATCGTGAGCGTCTTTTTTCAGCTTGCCCCCAAAATTGAAAGCGCCATTGAAACAATGGGGGCTCTTAGAACCACCGCTATTGTTCAAGGATTCTGTCATCCAAACTGGGTCAACCACTCTTTCAATGGAAATTGAACCCTAGGGTCGGCGGTTCAGATGTGCAGGTGATGTTTCCCATTAGTTTCAACCAGTGCAAGGTGTATACATTCCCGCGCCACAGAATTAAAGACTGATCAACAGAACTCCCCAAGCAACATCATAACCCTTAGCAGCATCAGCCCAATTCAGTTTCCTGAAGCCTGCCGCCTCGACCCTGTCTCAAACCCAGGATGGGACACGACCCCATGGCGTCCGTTGTTGAGGCGGCCATTTCATGAGGAACCCCATGCAGCCCTTCACAGCTCCAACCGTAGGCAGCTGATGTTGTCCTTTTCGGCTTACTAAGCCCGTAACCATTTAGTCTTTTGGAGAACTTGCGGGTCTAGGGTCCGGTCTTCTGATATCTCCATTTCTGGGAAAAGCGCCCCATGAGGATCACTTGCGATAGGCAGGGAATGAGTTGGAATCAACCCCATTTCAGCAACACCCCCCAATTTTATCCTTTATTCCGGGGATCCCTGGGTTCATATTTTCCATGGCCCACGCTTTCCTCTAGAAATCGGATCCCTGGGTTCATTCCGCCGGGGTCGGTTCCTGGAGCTCGCCGGCGCAGCGGCCCTCCCGCGAGTCCAGGGCGTCCAAAGGCGTCAGCCGGGCCTGCCATAGCCGGAGCTAGTCGCCCGCTTCTGGTGCTGCGCCCCCCCCAAAAATGGCCAAGAACCATGATGACCTGGTGCGGCGCCCAACAAAATGGCCCCAAAGAACCATCATGATCTGGTGCGCCCCCCCAAAAATGCCCAAAGAACCATGATGATCAGTGATCAGGGGTTGCTGTCCAGTGATTCCTTGTTGTAGGCTGCCAGGGCCCGGAAAAGAGGATAACTTTTAGGGACCTTGACTGTGGATCAAACAATGGAACCCAAAAGCTTAAAAGGCCGACTTTGGCCAGAGCAAGGGAAGGAGCAGTCTGCGTGTCCAGAAGGCGAACTGGAAGAAGTCCATCCCATCGTTTCTCTTGAGACTTGAGGCTACCTGACGGCCGCAAGGAGAGCGACAACTGGAAGAAACGAAAACCGCCTGACTTCGAATCGCGCAAATGTTTTCAGGTTACAGTAGCGACAAGGAGCACCTAAAGGAGGTCCCTCAGAAGCTTGCTCTAAGTCTAAGTGATGGCTTTCTAGGTTTCAGCTTCTGGGAGGAGAAGCTGCCCATGTACATGATTCGCACACCGCGGAAAGAGCATGTGTGTGGGATGAGCAATCAAGGCCTTCCGTGCTTCGATCCTGTAAATATCACCTAACAACAACGATAATTTGTTCTGACGTTGATGTTTTGGGCATTCAAACATGTAATGCTCTCAGCCACACTTTCAAAGGGACATACTTTGTCCATGAATAATGATCAAAAAAACGCTGACTGCTCTGATTGCGGCACGTCTGGGCGAAAACCCATGGCTTTTCATCGGCCCCCCTCTTTGATTTGATTCAAGCTCCAACTTTCGATCGCGCAGAACCATGCGTCCGGGCTTCTTCTGCTCTGTGCGGATGCTGTTCATGCACGAGACGGACTGCATCCAGTTCTCTTCGGATTGCAGCCAGTCTTCCCAAAACCGGCAATCGTTGCAGATGACATCAAAACCTTACAATCGCCCTGGGGCAGCAGGACCTTGGTCCGGGTCACCTTTGAGGAATTTCGATGTTTTCGCCAATTCGCTGAAAGCTATGGGTTTCCTAGCTGCGGAGTAGGGTTCTTAAAGAATTCTGGAAAGTTGTAGAGGATTTCCGAAAGGTTCCCGGAGGTTAATTGTGGGTATTTGCATGGCAGCAAGACCAAACCAACACTCATAGAACTGTTCCTGGGACCCCTCTAAGTATACCACACCCAAAACGCACTTCCTCAGGGTTGCTCCTAACACCATGGAAAAAGAGAGGAAATTGTCCTTGGCGAAGAAACCACTGGTGTGGTCGGTCATCATTTAGAGGCTTGCAGTAACGATGCTTCTTCTTGGTCTAGGCATGGTGTGATTGGGCGACACACACACACACAGCAGCTGAACAAGGCCTTTCAGTCCAGACTGAAAGGTTGCCAAACGCCCGGTCCCACTGAAATCCACTTTGAGCCCCTGGTTTTGTCTATTTCTGCAGTCTGGAAAGCATCATCATGGAACCTACGATTGATGCCCGTTAGCAACAACGACCAACAGAACCCCTCAAATTGCCTTGTCCCCGCAACAATGCCAAGAACGGACACGTCACACCCATTCTGGGACACCAACCGTGACCGCGCGCCTCTCCAGAGCCTTTGGCTTGAAAAAGCGAGACCCGGCACACGTCCAGTCCTCATGCGACCGCCGACTCCAACTGCTTTTACAGCAAGCGAAACCCGCATACGTATCAGGGGGCGAGCGGGTTCTTCGGAGAAGCATAATACTAAACAAAACCCACTTGATCCGCCTGGCCTGAGCACCATGAAGCGCCAACCCACGCTCTGCAAAGCACAAATTGCTCACATGGCATCGTTCCCCACCCCCCGAAGCTGAAAAGCACACATTGCACGTGCTATTTTTCCCCCCACAGGTATTCACACATGGGAGGCTTACCTTTGTGGTTTTTGACTAAACTTGGTTGCCGTGAGAAATCAAAATGGACATTGGCCCAAAGGCGTGGGATGTCCCTGGCTACAGCCCCCTCAACGTGAACAGCACCACAACGAATCCAAAAGACGGCACTCGGCCGCATACAATTCCATACAACACGAAGCAATCACAACCAAACGAGGAATCAACAACAATATCACAGCACAAACACGCATTCATCCATAAACAGATGGATAGATAGATCGACAGACAGATAGATTAGATAGATAGGTAGATAGATAGATTCATGGGTGGACAGATGAATGCATGGTATATAGAGAGAGGTATGTAGATACAAAGGTCCATAGAGAAATAGCTATATACTGAATTTATGAACACAATTTCAATAGCCGGAGGCAAGGTGCCATTCAACCCCCCCCCCCCCTCCGTGCGGCCGGAACCCGGTTCCGCGGTTTTCCGGGTGGGCTGGGTTCCGCAGCGCAGCTCGTAGAGTTGGCTGGCGACCAAGTGCTGCCTGCACTCGGCGCCCCCTTTTTGGTTGGTTTCAGTGCTCCCTATAGTTCCTCCCATATCACCCCACCAAGGAAGCTTCATTGAGAAAACGCCAAAAGGAAATGCACTAAGAAGGGAAATGCAAGGAGCCCTGCTCAAGGGGAAGCCAAAACAAATTTGGGGGTTGCGCCAATTTTGAGACAAACCCACTTGCCCAGCTTAGTCCCCAACGACTGCTCAGCCCTCAGAATCCTCTTCCCAGGGTAAGACCCATGAAATGCCCGAGGCAAACAAGACACAGGGCTAGTTGGAAGAGGTGGTTGGGATCCTATGAGAAGTTTGGGCACGGACTGCTTGCAGGCAACGGGCAAACGAGGGACACTTGTTCCTCTCTCCTCCACATCCCTCGGAAATGTTGGCCGACCACTCGTCAAGTAGTCTTCCCAGAGTCTTTTTTCAAAGGGAATCTAACCCAAGGAAGCGTGGCAGGGGTGGACAACAAAGGGGGAAGGCACGAGTCAGGCGGAAAGTAGAGGCGCGAAACCTTGCAATGTGCGCCTGGAATAGACAACCCTCTTTTCCCGAAGCGGTTCAAAACCACGCCTCCTAAAAAATTATCCCGGCAAGAGACCCCAAATAGTATTGCGTCCAACTTGACGACAGGTGGCCCAGAAGCATAGAGAAACGTTAAATAAACACTGACGCCTCTCCCACCTGATGAGATCGTAAACACGTCGGTGCCCCTGCTCAAGCGTAGATTCTGATGAGCAAGCTCAGCATCATGCTTCACAATCTCTCCTGTCAACTTCTCGCGCGCGTGATGCTGTGGCTTGATGTTGCGCGCGAAGCTGTGCGTGATGTTGCGCGTGATGTTGCGTGCGATGTCGCATGACGTTGCGCGAAATGCAGCGCATGATGCTGCGCATGATGTTCTGCAACCTCTCTTGCCAAATCTTTCATGTCCTCTGTTGAAAAACTCTCTTGTCCATATATGTGAGCAGCTGCTGGCAATTTTAGCTGCAGAAGTGTACTTCGCATCCTACCTAAACCGCGCGAGCGCGCTTCGCGCGCACGTTGCCATTTACGATTTTGCAGCCGGAGCTGCGGGAATGCACTTTATGTACAACTTTGGACTTAAGAGTTGCGAGCCTCGTGCCATGGGAACGCACTTCGTACACTCATACAAAGTTGCAACTTTGCAGCTGGAGCTCCGGAGTGCACTTCGCGTAGGACTTTTGCACTAAAAACCTGCCAATTTCGAGCTGGAGCTGCGGGAGTGCACTTCCAGCACTACTCTTGTACTTAAAATTGCGATTTTGCAAGCCGGAGCTCTGGAGTGCTCTTCGCGTACTACTTTTGCACTTGAAGCTTGCGAGCTTTCAGCCGGAGTTGAGGGAATGTCCTCCGCAAACTACTTTTGTACCTAGAAGTTGCGATTTCGAGCCGGAGCTGCGGGAGTGCACTTCGCGTACTACTTTTGAACTTAAAATTGCGATTTTGCAGCCGGAGCTCTGGAGTGCTCTTCGCGTACTACTTTTGTACTTAAAAAGCGCGATTTTACAGCCGGAGCTGCGGGAACGCGCTTCCCGTACTACTTTTTGCACCTAGAAGTTGCGAATTTCAAGCCACAGATGCGGGAGCGCACTTTGCCCGCCAGCTTTGTACGTAAACGTTGCCTCTTCAGCCGGAGATGCGGGAGGGCACGTCGCACCCTCACGGTGCCACAGCGAGAGCGCTTCGACACGCACGATCTCCGCAGAGGGTTCGCTGAGCTCAAGACAAATTCGCGCAGCGCCACAGCGAGAGCGCTTCGACACGCACGATCTCCGCAGTGGGTTCGCCGAGCTCAAGACAAATTCGCACGGCGCCACAGCCAGAACGCTTCGACACGCACGATCTCCGCAGAGGGTTCGCCGAGCTAAAGACAAATTCGCACGGCGCCACAGCCAGAGCGCTTCGACACGCACGATCTCCGCAGAGGGTTCGCTGAGCTCAAGACAAATTCGCACGGCGCCACAGCCAGAGCGCTTCGACACGCACGATCTCCGCAGAACCCCTTAGTGTAAACACTATTTGGGGAATGAACATACACATGCCTTTCGGGATGAAACAACCTGCTAGCAGTTTTCTGCCCAACTGCAAAGCAAATGCATTTTTTTCCTCGGCAAAGCAACCCTAAAGATCGGCCGAATTTTCTCCACGTAGCGCCTAAAAACTTTTTCGGAAATGGGGCCCTTGCAAACGATGCCTCCTGATAGAGAGGTCCGTGGTTTCCGAATGCCGCATGCAACCACCGACTCAAATGAGCAGAACCAAAGAAACTCCAAAACATTGACATCCTGTCAACTTGTTGAAGAAGCTCATGGGTGCATCTTTTTTGAGAGTACCCCTTTTTTGGTGGTTTTAAAGGGAAACCAATTGGAAAACAACAATTTTGGGGTCGCCTAACAGAACAAACACCCACATCGAAACACCCTTTAAGCCGCAAACAACTCTTGGCACCTCCATAGGCCGCATCCTTCCGCGCCTCTTAGACTTCACCTGCGACCTAAAGCGCAGGCCCAGCCTCATGGGCGGTGGCGCGGTGGGTGCGTTGGCTTTGGTTTACTGTTGCCTTTTGAGGCCCGCCCCAAAATCGAATGTAAAAAATGCGGGCCCTCGTTTACTGAAAGGGGCACCGTGCTTAGCTAGTGGTTGGCAAGCGTGTTTACCCGCCTGGACTGAAAAACCATGGCTGTTTTTTGCATGGGAGTTCCACCCGTGTGGAGATCGCTGGAAGGCAGACTCAAAGGAGAATCATGATCTGGAAGAACTGTTCCAATTTGCATCCAAGCAAATAAACATAATGCGATTTGTGAAAAGAATGCGTGCCTAGAATATCCAAAGGCGGGTGTCTGGGCAAATGCAACAACTTCTTTCATGGTGTTTTCTGTTTCTCTCTCTTTCTCCGTCTGTTAAATGTGTGTAGCAGTTAATAACTTCCCTGAGTAGAGACCTCCCCTTTCCACAAACATTGTCAACAAAACTAGTCTTGAACAGGTGAGCATTAGGGTGCAAGGGGACTAGCGCCTCTTCTGCAGACCCAGAAGTCACGGGGTCTCCAACTTAACCATCTTCGCTCTTGGTGCTAAATATGGGGTTTGGAAAAGAGTACCCGTCCCTTTGCCCCATGCCGTGGAACCTCCGCAGTCAAGGGCCTTTCATTGACACAGCTTGGGACATGATGGGCCCTGCAGAGTATACCAATCACAGGCTGAAGACAAAGGAGCCCAAAATAAAGAACCTCCAGCACTTGTGCGTGCTCCTCAGCTGATTGCAATTCGTGCTACGGCCGTTCCAAGTTGAAGTTCCCAAGTCTGAATGGCCAATTCAGTTGCACGCTTGATGCAAGCAATGGCCCAGCTGCAAACCATCGTGCGCCGAACCTAACAAATTTGTATGCTTCGCCAAGCAGAATTCAGGAATTCCTAAGACCAGCTCGTCTTACTCCCAAATGAGCTGGTTGTAACCACCCACGTCTGGCCACTTGCAAAGGTATTCCTGCAAGTCCTGTAAGCCTACCTGTCGCACTGAGCGCCATGCTTATTCAGCCAGTAGACGTCCTGGTCATAGGCCCCGGAATTGCAAAAAGGTACAGCTAGCAACCAGCATCAAGAACTCAGGTCGGCTTAGGCAGCCGGGAATTCATGAATCACAGCCCCCCTAGAACAGGGCCTTCGGGGCACTGACTAGCATGAGGGGAACAAAGGTGGGTTTTCGGCACTCTGGACTGCTCGAACAAAACAACTCTGCCTTTGAAGCGTGCCCTCTCCAAACCATCAACATGTACAGGAAACAGGGTTTACCTACATAGTATTGATGTTTGGAGCCCCTACTCCTCTTCACAAAACAGGGGACGTTAATCAAACAGCTGAACACCGGAGGTAGACAAGGGCTCTCTAACTCAAGTGCAGTTCCAGTTGGTGGGCCAAGGGATGACATTTGGCTCTTAGGAACACATTTTTGCTATACGGTATACGTTGTTTACATTTAATATATTAGACATAACGAAATAGGGATATTTGTGTGCAAGCCCTGCTAGCAAAAACCTGTGAACGACCAATATTCTCATCACGCCCGCATTTTTGGTCAGCCAATGGTGTGTGTGTGTGTGTCAGTGTTCTGGCGGTTCCAGGCTTGCTGAAGGGAAGCCGCAGAAGAAACTAATCCTTTTGAGGGGTACCCCTGTGCAATGGACAAAACCTTGCACCACCTAAGAGGCCCTGGAATGATCAATGATTCCCCTGTAAAAACCCAACCAACCAATAGTTTCAAGCTTCAACCATGGTGTCCCTTCATGCGAAATTGGTTTCGAAACCATCCACAGCATTTTGACACACCGGGCCATCTTGAACTCGAAGCACCATCGAGCTCCTTGCTTCATCTCCGCAATGTCCGATGTTTTTTTGTCTGGCCACCAGTATATTCAGCTCTTCTTTCTCTGAGCCGCTATATATATATATATGTATATGGGCGAGTGTCTATCTTGTAGGGTAGCCCCCAAAATGGCTGTTCCTGCTGGTCCCCTATTAAAACAAGGCCAAAGAGGGTACCCTCAAAACACCGACTCTCTGACCTTGAGGGTCATGTAACGCCCGGCTAAAGGCGTAACCCCAAAATCCACCCTCTGCAGAGCCCCTCAGGAACCCGCACCCGGGACACTTCGCGAACCTTCCAGGTTCTTGGCGCTTGGTTTTGCTCCTAGCTTTGCTCCTAGCTTTCTTTGATGGACATCGTCATGCCGGGTAAATAGGTGGTCAAGCTTAACTACGGGCTTCTGCAAGCTCAACACTGATCCCGATACGCAAGGGAAGTACAGTCTAGGTGAGACTGCCAAACAAATAGGCAGACCTTGTGTCAACGCATTTGCACTTCCAATATGGAAAAAGCATCTGTTGGGTGCCCCTTTTTGCCAACCCGAAACGGGTATCCACCAACAAAACAAACAAACAAAAACAAACAAACAAACAAACAAACAACAAAAAAAAAAACATTAAACAAACAAACACACACAAACACACAAACAAACAAACAAACAAACAAACAAACAAACAAACAAACAAACAAACAAACACACAAACAAGCAACAAACACACAAACAAACAAACAAACAAACAAGTAAGCAAACAAACAAGCAAGCAAGCAAGCAAACAACCACACAAACGAACAAACAAACAAACAAACAAACAAACAAACAAACACACACACACACACACAAAAGAACAAGCCAAACACAAGCCCATTTCGGCTGGAAATCCACCTTCGACAATCTCTCCTCCAAGGGTGCGAGCCGAGGGCTCGCCAAACCGCAGCCCAGCACGTCGCTCTCATCCCGGAGCTGCGCGCGACACAGATTGGGTGGATGTGATTGAGCTCCTCAAAATTGGGGTTGTCTTTGTTTTAGGGGATCCCACATTTTGTTGTCTTTTTGGTTTCTCTTTGAAGCCACCACCAAAGGGCCACCCAAAAACAGGCCCGTATGAACGTTGACTATGAAGAATTAAGAAAAATGAAACATTGAGCATATCATGCTGGGTGTGCCCCACAGTTAGGAGTAAGGTTGGGACTCCTTGGATCGGACCCGACCAATCCACGAAGGCCTTCTGGGTCGGAGGAACCAGGTGTCTTGGGGGAAGTTTTAGGACCGGTCGACTTTTTGACTTGGGCACCAAGAATCCGCTGGAGCACTTCACGAGGGGCCTGAGGAGAGGTTTGCCCGGGAGCCCTCCACGACTTCTGGGGTAACTCGAACTCTAGTTTTTTGGAAGAAGCGTCCCATGTGCCACCTCGACCTCAACCCGAGAAAATCCAACCCTGAGCAACCGGAACTTCACTCTGTTGAGAACAGACAGATGCCAGGTCGGGGGGCCCAAGCACCGTTCAGCACCCACTCTTGAGTCAAGAGGCCTTATGGTCGTCAAAGCCTTTGAGGTGTGTTCAATTTAGGGGGCGGGTGTAGGGTCCAAACGAACATTTTCACCCTCGAACCAAAACGGTCTCTCTCATGAGGAACCGCCCTCTACACGGAATCCGCGGTCAGCATTAAAGAACACAGAAGCTAAGCACCCAACACTTGTAGAGACTCCTTTACCTTTCTGCAGGAGTAGCACCTCGTCCTAGCAAAGGTGCTAGGTGTGGTGTCGGGATTGCCACCCCAGCTCCCTGCTTGTTTTTCCAACCCCAGCTCCCTGCTTGTTCACCTCTAGTTGACCCTTTTGGTTGATGAGTCCATTAAAGAAGAACAAGCAGCTGAGTGGATTAGCAAAAACATGTTTGCACTTCTTGTTTCCCACTAAAACGGTGCTCCCGAAAAAATGTAAAGTCCAGGAACTCAGGGAGTAGAGCACCTGATTGAACGCTGCTGGTTCCCTTAGTTAGACCCGCACAAACCGTTCGCCCCACGTCTCAGAATCTTCGCAACAAGCCGCCTCATCGCCAGCGTCCCGAGCCCAGAGGGAGCGCTCCAGCCTCAGCGCGGTTGCGCGGTTGCGCGGTCGAAGGTGAAAGGAGCTGAGGAAAGGAGCCCAATGGAACTCCAAACTGGTCAACTTTTGGAAGAAACACATGGGAGTGTTTTGAGTCACCTTTTTGGTTGGTTTTAAAGGGAAGCCCAAAGGAAAACCGAAGCCAGAGGTCCCCAAAAACAAGCCCCACGCATATGCGGCTCCCGCAAAAGACGTTGGACAATTCATTTTTCCCAAAAGCATCTCTGATGCTTGGGTTCTGCTTTAGGTTTTCTCTTAAGGTGCCTGGGACGACGGAGATAAGAAGGGATTTCCATTTCGTTGTGCTGCAGACCGGGCGTGCGATGCCGGCTGGGGGTGCAGACCGGGCGTACGAGGCTGGCTGGGGGGACGGCGGTGTGGGGCTGGCTGGGTGCGCGAGACTGGCGCGGTGGACGCTCGTGACAAGCGGAAACCGCCTCCGAGCAAGACGGGCGCGGGGCACGCTCGTGACAGGCGGAAGCCGCCCCTGAGCGAGACTGGCGCGGTGGACGCTCGGGGCATGCGGAAACCGCCCGCGAGCGAGACTGGCGCGGTGGACGCTCGTGACAAGCGGAAACCGCCCCCGAGCGAGACGGGCGCGGGGGACGCTCGTGACAGGCCGAAAGCGAGACGGGCGCGGGGGACGCTCGTGACAGGCCGAAACCGCTCCCGAGCGAGACGGGCGCGGGGGACGCTCGTGACAGGCCAAAACCGCCCCCGAGCGAGACGGGCACGGGGGACACTCGTGACAGGCCGAAACCGCCCCCGAGCGAGACGGGCGTGGGGGACGCTCGTGACAGGCCGAAACCGCCCCCCAGCAAGACTGGCGCGGGGGACGCTTGTGACATGCAAAAATGCTCGTGACAGGCCGAAACCGCCCCCGAGCGAGACGGGGCGCGGGGGACGCTCGTGACAAGCGGAAACCGCCCCCGCGCGAGACGGGCGCGGGGGACGCTCGTGACAGGCCGAAACCGCCCCCGAGCGAGACGGGCGCGGGGGACGCTCGTGACAGGCCGAAACCGCCCCCGAGCGAGACGGGCGCGGGGGACGCTCGTGACAGGCCGAAACCGCCCCCGAGCGAGACGGGCGCGGGGGACGCTCGTGAAAGGCCGAAACCGCCCCCGAGCGAGACGGGCGCGGGGGACGCTCGTGACAGGCCGAAACCGCCCCCAAGCGAGACGGCGCGGTGGACGCTCGTGACAGGCGGAAACCGCGCCCGTCTCGCTCGGGGGCGGTTTCGGCCTGTCACGAGCGTCCCCCGCGCCCGTCTCGCTCGGGGGCGGTTTCCGCTTGTCACGAGCGTCCACCGCCAGTCTCGCTCGCGGGCGGTTTCCGCACGTCACGAGCGTCCACCGCGCCAGTCTCGCTCCAGTCTCGCTCGGGGGCGGTTTCCCAGGGGCGGTTTCGGCCTGTCACGAGCGTCCCCCGCGCCCGTGTCGCTCGGGGGCGGTTTCGGCCTCTCACGAGCGTCCCCCGCGCCAGTCTCGCTCGCGGGCGGTTTCCGCTGGTCACGAGCGTCCACCGCGCCAGTCTCGCTCGGGGGCGGTTTCGGCCTGTCACGAGCGTCCCCCGCGCCCGTCTCGCTCGGGTCACGAGCGTCCGCCCGTCTCGCTCGGGGGCGGTTTCGGCCTGTCACGAGCGTCCCCCGCGCCCGTCTTGCTCGGGGGCAGTTTCGGCCTGTCACGAGCGTCCCCCGCGCCCGTCTCGCTCGGGGGCAGTTTCCGCTTGTCACGAGCGTCCACCGCGCCAGTCTCGCTCGGGGGCGGTTAATTCGGCCTGTCACGAGCGTCCCCCGCGCCCATCTCGCTCGGAGCGGTTTCGGCCTGTCACAAGCGTCCACCGAGGCGCGGGGGACGCTACAGGCAGAAACCGCCCCCGAGCGAGACGGGCGCGGGGGACGCTCGTGACAGGCGGAAACCGCCCTCGAGCGAGACAAATGGCGCCGATGTGTTTCTAGGACGAACCCTCTCTTGAGAAGCTGTGGCCTCTTGGGGTTCGCCCTACTTATTCGGAAGCAGCCTGGAAGCACGTTGAAAATGTTTATGCTGAGCACACTCGGCCAAACAAAAGGGCGTACGAACATCCGAACGGCTGACCCCGGTCTACGCACATTGTGTCTCAGACTTGTTTCAGACAGGCGTCAGACCCACCAAGTGACCGAGGCTTGTCCACACCGAGCCCCCGCACTTTTTGCCGCACACAGGACCCGAACAAACGCCAATGTGTTTCTAGGACTCTCTTTGAGAAGCTGTGGCCTCTTGGGGTTCGCCCTACTTATTTGGAAGCAGCCTGGACGCAGGTTGACATGAATATGCTGAGCACACGCGGCCCAGACAAAAGGGCGCACGAACATCCGAACAGCTATCCCCAGTCTACGCGGATCGTGGTAACACTGTGTCTCAGACTTGTTTCGGACAGGCGTCAGACCGTCAGACCACCAAGTGACCGAGGCTTGTCTACGCCGAGCCCCTCGCAAAAGCACAGCGCCGGCCCCTCCCCCACCCACCATCTACACGCATCCAATTGACAACGTGCGCGGCTCTTTCCACAAAGTCACCAGTTGCAACGTTGCAATTGGTTGCGAATGGGAAAATAGGCTAACGAATCCAAGCAAGCATACGAAGCAAGTTTGTGAAGGCCACGCGGCTCCATGTGAACAGCCCGGCGTTGCAGGTGCGCCAAAATTGTCCTTTTTGCCGCACACCTGACCCGAACAAAGGGTGCCGATGTGTTTCTATAGGACGAACCCTGTCTTGAGAAGCTGTGGCCTCTTGGGGTTCGTCCTACTTATTTTGCCGCACACCTGACCCGAACAACTGGTGCAAATGTGTTTCTAGGACGAACCCTCTCTTCAGAAGGTGTAGCCTCTTGGGGTTCGCCCTACGTATTTGGAAGCAGCCTGGAAGCACGTTGACATGAATATGCTGAGCACGCTCGGCCCAAACAAAAGGGCGCATGAACATTCGAACAGCTGACCCCGGTCTACGCAGATCGTGGCAACACTGTGTCTCAGACTTGTTTCGGACAGACGTCAGACCCACCAAATGACCGAGGATCGTCCACACCGAGCCTCCCCGCAAAAGCGCAGCGCCGGCCCCGTCTCCACACAACTTGCCATCCACACGCATCCAATTGACAGCGTGCGCGGCCCTTTCCACAAAGTCACCAGTTGCAATTGGTTGCGAATGGGAAAATCGGTGGAGAAACTAGCGAATCCGAGCAAGCTTACGAAGCAAGTTTGTGAAGGCCACGTGCACGGCTCCATGTGAACAGCCCGGCGTTCACCGCGCGCCAAGATTGCCCTTTTTGCCGCACACCTGACCCGAGCAAATGGCGCCAATGTGTTTCTAGGACTTTAGAGTCTGTGGCCTCTTGGGGTTCGCCCTACTTATTTTGCCGCGCACCTGACCCGAGCAAATGGCGCCAATGTGTTTCTAGGACGAACCCTCTCTTCAGAGTCTGTGGCCTCTTGGGGTTCGCCCTACTTATTTGGAAGCAGCCTGGAAGCACGTTGACATGAATATGCTGAGCACACTCGACCAAACAAAAGGGCGCACGAACATCCGAACAGAGTCCTATTTTTTCCCAAAAGCATCTCTGATGCTTGGGTTCTGCTTTAGGTTTTCTCTTAAGGTGCCTGGGAGCGACACAAGCTGTGACGACGGAGATAAGAAGGGATTTCCATTTCGTTGTGCTGCAGACCGGGCGTGCGATGCCGGCTGGGGGTGCAGACCGGGCGCACGAGGCTGGCTGGGGGGACGGCGGTGTGGGGCTGGCTGGGACGGCGGTGTGGTGCAGACTGGGTGCGCGAGGCTGGCCCGCGAGCGAGAGAGACTGGCGCGCTGCGGAAACCGCCCGCGAGCGAAAAAAGGTGACATGCGGAAACCGCCCGCGAGCGAGACTGGCGCGGTGGACGCTCGTGACATGCGGAAACCGCCCGCGAGCGAGACTGGCGCGGTGGAACATGCGGAAACCGCCCGCGAGCGAGACTGGCGCGGTGGACGCTCGTGACCTGCGGAAACCGCCCGCGAGCGAGACTGGCGTGGTGGACGCTCGTGACATGGAGAAACCGCCCGCGAGCGAGACTGGCGCGGTGGACCCTCGTGACATGCGGACGGTGGAACATGCGGAAACCGCCCGCGAGCGAGACTGGCGCGGTGGTCGTGACCTGCGGAAACCGCCCGCGAGCGAGACTGGCGTGGTGGACGCTCGTGACATGGAGAAACCGCCCGCGAGCGAGACTGGCGCGGTGGACCCTCGTGACATGCGGACACCGCCCACGAGCGAGACTGGACTGGCGCGGTGGACGCTCGTGACATGCGATACATGGCGCGGTGGACGCTCGTGACATGCGGAAACCGCCCTGGCGCGGTGGACGCTCGTGACAGGCGGAAACCGCCCGCGAGCGAGACTGGCGCGGTGGACGCTCGTGACATGCCGAAACCGCCCGCGAGCGAGACTGGCGTGGTGACGCTCGTGAGCGGAAACCGCCCGTGAGCGAGACTGACGCTCGTGACACGCGGAAACCGCCCGCGAGCGAGACTGGCGCGGTGGACGCTCGTGACAGGCGGAAACCACCCGCGAGCGAGACTGGCGCGGTGGACGCTCGTGACATGCGGAAACCGCCAGCGAGCGAGACTGGCGCGGTGGACGCTCGTGACATGCGGAAACCGCCCGCGAGCAAGACTGGCGCGTGACATGCGGAAACCGCCCGCGAGCGAGACTGGCGCAGTGGACGCTCGTGACAGGCGGAAACCGCCCGCGAGCGAGACTGGCGCGGTGGACGCTCGTGACATGCGGAAACCGCCCGCAAGCGAGACTGGCGCGGTGGACGCTCGTGACATGCGGCAAACCGGCGCGGTGGACGCTCGTGACATTTGGAAACCGCCGCGAGCGAGACTGGCGCGGTGGACGCTCGTGACATGCGGAAACCGCCCGCGAGCGAGACTGGCGCAGTGGACGCTCGTGACAGGCGGAAACCGCCCGCGAGCGAGACTGGCGCGGTGGACGCTCGTGACATGGGGAAACCGCCCGCGAGCGAGACTGGCGCGGTGGATGCTCGTGACATGCGGAAACCGCCCGCGAGCGAGACCGGCGCGGTGGACGCTCGTGACATGCGAAAAAACGCCCGCGAGCGAGACTGCGCTCGTGACATGCGGAAACCGCCCGCAAGCGAGACTGGCGCGGTGGACGCTCGTGACATGCGGAAACCGCGCGCGAGCGAGACTGGCGCGGTGGGCGCTCGTGGCGTGCGGAAACCGCCCGCATGCGGAAACCGCCCGCGAGCGAGACTGGCGTGGTGGACGCTCGTGACATGCGGAAACCGCCCGCGAGCGAGACTGGCGCAGTGGCCGCTCGTGACATGCGGAAACCGCCCCTGAGCGAGACAGCGAGACTGGTGCGGTGGACGCTCGTGACATGCGGAAACCGCCCGCGAGCGAGACTGCCGCGGTGGCTTGTGACAGACGGAAACCGCCCGCGAGCGAGACTGGCGCGGTGGACGCTCGTGACAGGCGGAAACCGCCCGCGAGCGAGACTGGCACGGTGGCTCGTGACAGGCGGAAACCGCCCGCGAGCGAGACTGCCGCGGTGGACGCTCGTGACATGCGGAAACCGCCCGCGAGCGAGACTGGCGCGGTGGACGCTCGTGACATGCGGAAACCGCCCGCGAGCGAGACTGGCGCGGTGGACGCTCGTGACATGCGGAAACCGCCCGCGAGCGAGACTGGCGCGGTGGACGCTCGTGACATGCGGAAACCGCCCGCGAGCGAGACTGGCGCGGTGGACGCTCGTGACATGCGGAAACCGCCCGCGAGCGAGACTGGCGCGGTGGACGCTCGTGACATGCGGAAACCGCCCGCGAGCGAGACTGGCGCGGTGGAGGCTCGTGACATGCGGAAACCGCACGCGAGCGAGACTGGCGCGGTGGACGCTCGTGACATGCGGAAACCGCCCGCGAGCGAGACTGGCGCGGTGGACGCTCGTGACATGCGGAAACCGCCCGCGAGCGAGACTGGCGCGGTGGACGCTCGTGACATGCGGAAACCGCCCGCGAGCGAGACTGGCGCGGTGGACGCTTGTGACATGCGAAACCGCTCGCGAGCGAGACTGGCGTGGTGGACGCTCGTGACATGCCGGCGAGCGAGACTGGCGCGGTGGAGGTGGACGCTCATGACATGCGGCAACCGCCACGTGCGCGGCTCCATGTGAACAGCCCGGCGCTCCAGGTACGCCATAATTGTCCTTTTTGCCGCACACCTGACCCGAACAATCGGTGCCAATGTGTTTCTAGGACGGACCCTCTCTTCAGAAGCTGTAGCCTCTTGGGGTTCGCCCTACTTATTTGGAAGCAGCCTGGAAGCACGTTGACATGAATATGCTGAGCACACTCGGCCCAAACAAAAGGGCGCATGAACACTGACCCCGGTCTACGCAGATTGTGGTAACACTGTGTCTCAGACTTGTTTCGCCCACCAAGTGACCGAGGCTTGTCCACACCGAGCCCCCCGCAAAAGCGCAGCGCCGGCCCCGTCTCCACACACTTGCGGCGAATCCACCCAACTTGCCATCCACACGCATCCAATTGACAACGTGTGCGGCCCATTCCACAAAGTCACCAGTTGCAATTGGTTGCGAATGGGAAAATAGGTGGAGAAACTAACGAATCCAAGCAAGCATACGAAGCAAGTTTGTGAAGGCCACGTGCACGGCTGCATGTGAACAGCCCGGCGTTCCCGGTGCGCCAAAATTGTCCTTTTTGCCGCACACCTGACCCGAACAAATGGTGCCAATGTGTTTCTAGGACGAATCCTCTCTTCAGAAGCTGTGGCCTCGGGGTTCGCTCACTTATTTGGAAGCAGCCTGGAAGCACGTTGATATGAATATGCTGAGCACACTCGGTCCAAACAAAAGGGCGCATGAACATCCGAACAGCTGACCCCGGTCTACGCAGATCGTGGTAACACTGTGTCCACCAAGTGATCGAGGCTTGTCCACACCGAGCCCCCCGCAAAAGCGCAGCGCCGGCCCCGTCTCCACACACCTGCGGCGAATCCACCCAACTTGCCATCCACACGCATCCAATTGACAACGTGCGCGGCCCTTTCCACAAAGTCACCAGTTGCCACTGGTTGCGAATGGGAAAATAGGTGGAGAAACTAACGAATCCAAGCAAGCTCACAAAGCAAGTTTGTGAAGGCCACGTGCACGGCTCCATGTGAACAGCCCGGCGTTCCAGGCACGCCAAAATTGTCCTTTTTGCCGCACACCTGACCCGAACAAATGGCGCCAATGTGTTTCTAGGACGAACCCTCTCTTCAGAGTCTGTGGCCTCTTGGGACTCGCCCTACTTATTTGGAAGCAGCCTGGAAGCACGTTGACATGAATATGCTGAGCACACTCGGCCCCAACATAAGGGCGCATGAACATCCGAACAGCTGACCCCGGTCTACTCAGATCGTGTTGTAACACTGTGTCTCAGACTTGTTTCAGATGGGTGTAGAGCGAGCTTATGCCTTGCTTCCAATTTGGGAGTTGTAGTTTGTGCGGATCCATTTTCGGATTTCTGCGATTGGTTCTTCATGATGAATCGGATGACTTCGTGCCTTCCATGTAGTACGGGGCCTGTCATGTTTCACCCGTGCCTTTGCCTTTTTCTCTGTGCTTGGTCAGAGCACAGGCTGCTGGCTGCCAATCCGGCTTGAGTCGCGGTTGCTCCCTGTTTTGGGGTTGATTTCCCAACTGTGAACAACTTAAATCTTGGTTTGCCTTCGGACCCTTGAGCCGGAAAACAACGGGATCCACATTCCGTGGGGAGTTAGGCTGGTTTGCTTTTGGGTTCCCGGGCTCCTCTTGTTTAAAATTGACCATAGTTTGACCAAAATTGCTGACATATTCAGGATGGTTCTACAAACAACTCGCACCATCAGGATTTGCCCCTGCCAGGGTTTTGGTGAGAAGTTCACTGAGTGCTTCCATGCCATCACGCCTCTGACCAAACCGAGAGCTGTTCAAGTCTCGAACACGCCTAAATTCTCGACTGTGCCCCTGATGTTGCCTCTGCACGGGAGGGGTTGTGACAAAGGTACCCAAGCTAACATTCAAGCTCCCAGGACCTGCAAGACTTAGTTCCATTGAGAATGGCCTTCTGGGAGTAAAGGCGTCGACTGGCAGCTGATATTGGTCTCACCGAGCCGCTGGAGGTGCAGACGCTCCCGATTCCAGGGCTCCCGGAGGTTCACATTGGAGCTGGACCGAAACAGCCCGTCCTCTGCACACATCTCGCGAATGCCGCGAGAGAGGTGCTCGGCCAGGCGAGAAAAACGCGCGCAAACGGGGCTTTTTGTCGATGTCAAAATGGGGGAGCGCAAAACAAATAAGCAAAAGCGCGTGTGTTTTGTGGTTTCCTGAAGCCAACTTGAAAGGGTACCTGTTCACCACAAGCTCCACGTTTCGGAGACGCAGCTCCCAATCCTTCCAACCCCAAGCTTTGTGTGTCGGCAAAGATGTTTTGAACAACGACCTGAAGCAAACACGGATTGAGGGAATGACCCCGAACGAACAGAACCATCCAGGTCGTGGTTTTCTTTTTGTGAAGGGTGTCCCAAACCGTTCTTTCTAAAAACCTTCAAGATGATTCCTTGCTGTTGACCAGCGGGGTAGTTGTATGATGCTTTACGCCATGCAACTCATTTTCCCGGAGCCTTGAAGAAGGCTGTAGGTTGACGCCACTAGTGCAACAAGCTGAATGTGTAGCTACGTGTGAGGCTGGCGATAAAACTACCGGCTTTTGTAGTATCACCAGTTCAGAAAGCCCTCCTTTGAAGGTTGAGCCATCCCTCGTAGCTCACTTGCTCATCAAGTGCTTGTGTCGCCCTGAAAGAAAGGAATCCGACCGCTAATCAGCAAGGGCGCCCCTAATTCAGAACTTGGAGCAGCTATTCGTCAGGGGTCAACACTACTGAGCACGACCGCTACTTTTCGTCATAATATCAACATAGCATACACAGTTCAGGCAGTACTCTCAAACCCACTAACATGAAACCCACCCACGAGAAGGCCCCCTTTCGAAGAAACATGCGACAATTGCAGCGCCAAACGCGCAAAGAGGCACCTTTGTTTGAGGGCGACCCCTTCCCAGCAAAGAAGACAAGGGCATCCCTGGTGGTCTGGGGTCATCATTTGCCACATTCAATGGGATCCCCTTAGTCCTGGTGCCCTTGGTAGGAACCATTCTAACTGTTGCTCAAGCCCAGAGAACGGCTCATGACCAGCCTTGCCAATGTGAAGCAAAAGTGCGTTTTGTGCATGGCACATTTGCCACATCCAGCGTTCAACAAGATTCATGCACACGCATGCAACTTCTGTTGAAACACCCAAGCAAGCAGCACTCTACTTGAGGGGTTGGGGCAACAACCAAATCCACTCCGAACAAGTAATTTGGCGCCCCACCCCCAACCCCCCCAAAAAAAAAATCGGTAAAAACAAGAAAACAACTAACCCTTCCCCAGGCCGAAAACATCAACACCAAACACACGGGTTACAAACTACAAAGCAACATGAACCCCAAGGCACACCGGTGAAAGGCCCAAGACGGGTTACCTCATGGGGCAGCGATTCGCGATACCCGCGCCCCAAATCAAACACGAAAAGCAACAAACCTGCCTGGGAGGCAGGGATATGAACAGTCTGTGTCCTGAAAAGGCGTAAGTACACACAAGTATTCCATGCCAAACATGAGTTTCCTCTGCAAATGGGTATGTGCCTTGAATGGACGCCCCCAGGCCTCCTGGATCATCCATTCTGAAGGTTGCCCTTCCGCGCTCAACGCTCCTGGCGAAAATCGGGCTCTGAGCGGACCTCCCCCGGAGAAACAAGGTGCCTTTTTTGGGACGCCCCAAAAAGGCGTCGGGTTTCATTGTGCAGCAAAAACGGGACGGCCCCATCTTCAAACTCCACTGCCCAAGCAAAAGAGAGGCGTAAAGGCATCCGCACACGGATTTCTATGACGCTGACTGACAGCCCTTCATCTGTTGGCTGCCTTCTGGCACATGCGGGACGCCAGTTACTATGGCGTAATGCGTTGACGACCAAGTTGGGCGCCCCTGGGAGGGTGGTCCAAGAATCAAAAACGGGATCTAAAAAGGAGGGGACGTTGGAGACCTCCGTTGGCATGGGTCTTAAGGCTTGTCGCTGCCTGAAATCGATGAGATTCCCGGGTTTTTGGGAACCCTTCGCACCATCCAAACCATGCGATTTGAGCCCTGGGTTTAGAACAGTTGCATTGCTTCTGATGGAATTATTTTGATCATTCAAATGGTTGTCGAGTAATTCCAGCTAGGATCTGGGCAAATTGTAATTCATAAGCCCGTTTTTGAGGAATCCCTAGGTACGTTATAAGGGACCTTTGTCCGTGAGCTCCTTCGAATTTGTCCAGCGAGAATGGAAGCAGGGAACTTGTCATACCCCCCCGTAAACCGCTACACATCGAAAGGGTACTGCCGGGAACCGAGGAATCAAATCCTGCCTTCATTTGACCGAACCGTAGAAAACCGCGGATCTTTCTTGTCACACCCACCTGTTCCATGCCCAAAACCCAACTGCCAATGGCTGTTACCAAGTTTGCAGTGGTGAAGGGCTCGTTTCCCACAAACAACGTCCAGTAGTCTGCAACATGTTCAAATCTACCCGTAAATTATGGTTACAGGGCAACCCCCAAAAGCGATTTTGAGAGCCCCTCAAAGTGTCAGAGTACTCAAACCAAGGCGTATGGGATCCGAGCCTGCGCCGTAGAAGAATGCCACATCCAGGCTGCCAAGGAACATCCTCTCGCGAGCTATGCTGGCCGGGCGCCTGCTGTTTTGATCTCCCACCAGAAAAAAAAATGGTGGCAAGGGGCCTCCTTTACATTCCCTCCCTTTCCCCACGTGAGGCGAAAAACACGCATGCGCACACCTATATATATATATATATTTGTTTATGCACATATACATGCATGAGAATACATGGGAGGTTGATTCTTATTGAGGGCCCTCCGTGCATACCTCGAGTTGGTTTCCCAGGCTCCGTTTCCTTGGGCTGGCGAACTCCGAACTCAGACCGATTCATTCCGATCCCGTGAACCAAAATCTTGGCCGACACCGGCCCAGAAAGCCAAAGCTAGGAGTTGGATGTTTTTCGAAAGTTTCGAACATCGACCAACAAATGTCGAAAGATGTCGAAAGCTATGAGTACCGAAACCTTTAAGCATCGCCATGAAATGGAGCAATCGGGAAGCAGGAAGCCCCGGCTGGAATGTCAGGAGTCTATGGTCTTCACTCAGATCCCTAGGTCCTTTATGGAAACTGCATATTCTGACCGGCTCGTGTAGACCTTGCCCCCCCCTCACTGCCCTTGTCTTCTGGGTTAGTCATGCCTCAAAAAGGATTGGCTTATCGCGGAAAACCCGGTATCGCTTTCTTGTTGCTTGAGAACAAGTTGGTAGAGTCCCTCCCAGCCATGAAATCCCAAACTTCACTGCCTCAAGGGACCCTCCCATCTTCGTGGACGGAATCCAAACAGCGGAAATCTACAAAAGCCCAAACCCTGGATTTCCACAAAATGGCTGGTCAAAAATTGGCACCCGTTTTGGGCCATAGTTTGCGTGCCCGCCTTTAGGGCTCCAAAAAGCTTTCCCTACTTTTGACCACCCACAAGCTGTCTGCTGGCGCCCGTCTCAGCGCCCGACGGCTCCAACCACACCTGCGGATGCGCCCCGGTGATGCCCCACCGAAAAGTGGAGGTCTGGTTTGGGGAAGGATGGTCAAGTGGTGTTGGGGCTTGGGAATGTTTGGCGATTCCCCATTGAAAAGACCACTCATGTTGGGCTTGAAAAGTGTGGATTCAACCATTCCATGGATCCATTTAGCATGGCCTGCACTCCGTGCTTAACATCAACAAGCCTCCATCCTGAGGACCTGGAAATCCACCCCAAGGAGCCCGCGACTACGCCTCCGGATCCGTCAAGCAGCCAAGGACGCGGAACAGCAGCGCCTGCACGCGGAAAGCCTCGGCCAGTTAGGACAGGAGAAAATCTCACCAGCCACCCTTTTCACTTGAAAGCCGAAATTAATATGTAGGACTACTCTGGGATACTCTGGGGGACTAAAACCAGGGAAAAGCACTATACAGTCCGACGGCTGCGGTACCCTTGTAGGATCCAAGAGGCTCCAAAATGGGCTTCGGATTCCTCCTCATTTCCCGAAGCGACCCCGAAAAGAGTACCCGGAAGCCCCCCCCCATATCCTTTTGGTTCGATTGAAATCCAACCAAAGGCAACCACACGCACGTCGCCCTTGTGTTAGTTTATTTTCACAGACAAGCGGCCCCCCCAACCCAAAAACCAAAAAAAAGGAAAGAAACAAAGAAAGAACGATCGGAACTCAAGGGTTCGCCTGGGAAAATCGGAATGTGACTGCAAATCACCAGGTCCCTTTCTCGTGAGCTCCTGGGTTGCCCGGGCCAAGGCTTGGCTCCAGGAGCTCACCGAGAGGAGCAACGGCCGCAACCCCGACCGCTCCTTGCGACGGCTCCCTCCGGGCGGGACCCAATTCCATTTGTCTAGTTGCTTCCTCCCAAAAGAGAAAAAGGGAGCCGAACATGGCGTTTTGCTGGAGTTACCCCCTCCCCCACTTCCATGTTTTCTCTGTTTTTTCTTCGGGGCTGGGGATGGTTCACATCTGTTGGTTCTCCGATTGTTACCTCAACACTCCACTTTCCAAATTGGTCTCTCCCCATTAGTGTTCCGCTAGGGTTCGGGGTGCATCTTGCTAAAACTGAGAATTTGCCTCAAGAATCGAGAATTCACCTCTAGTTGGGGCTTCCCAATGGTCCCTCTCAGTTGTGGCCTCCCCAATTCCTATTTGCTGTTCTTCTCATGCGTCCCGTTCCATTGGAATTTGACGTAGAATGGCAAGGCTTTCCCATTTGTGGACCCCCACCCATTCGAGGCAAAGGATTTTTTCCTGATCACTTGTCGGGGGGCTGCAGGCGCGTTTTGCTGAAAGGAAGGATCATCCCTGGAATTTACTCTGGAGTGGAGAGGGTAAACACCTAAACTTGTGCTGTGTTCTCCAGTTTCTAGGCTTCCCCCATTTCTGGCGTCTCCTCATGTGTTACCTCCAGAATGCTCCATGGGTTAGTTCCCATGTGTAGGTTCCACTATGTTTCGGCTCCAGTGTTTACCTCTCACAGTCTTCATAGGTCGTTCCCGTTTCTGGGTTCCACCCCGCCGCCTTTGAGCCAGGCCCGCGCGCATGTCTCTTAGCGCTTTCCTTTTCACTTGGCCCAGCCATGGGCGCGCAGCCAGCGCTCGCAGGGCTTGGTCCAAACATCCAGCATGCCGTGCCCGTGCCTCGGATCCCAAGGCTCCCGTTTTTCACTTCGCTCGCGGCGCGAAAAGCACGACAAGAAAAACAACACATGCAGACCCCGGATGAAGAGAGCCCCCTGTTGATTGATAGTGTTGTTGTTTTTCTTTCCAAAAGTGATGACTCAAACTAAGAAGCCCCAAAAAAGGGACTACCTTTTCAGGGGGTCCAGAACCCCCCCCAATTTTGATGAGCCATAATGTTGACCCCAGGGAAACGTCAAACCGCCCCTCTTGATCCAAGAGGGATCCCTCTTCCCGGCCTGTCAGTTTTCGGATCCCTTGCCAAACGTGACTGGCTGCATGGGTTCAATACGGAAACCCAACCACTAAACGCTAAAAAACTAAAAGGCCAAGGGCATGGTGAACCACCACTGTGGATGGCTGGGAAATCCTTGCCACACCACGAAATGAACTCCTGGAATCATTCCGGGGATTATTAGGTAGTGCGAAAAATATAGGGCTTTCTTGTCCAACGCAGGCTATGTTAGCAAAAAGCGTGCTTGCAGCCAGCCCACCACCAAAAGTGAACTGAACAACTAAAAAGACGTGTCAAGATACTGCAAACAAACCGCTTTGCCTTCTCTGGCTCGAAATCTTCGCTTCCCTCTGATTTGGTATCCTCTTAATTAGTTTGGTGTCCCTACTTCAGTCTTCCAAACGAGTTTGTTTCAAATGTGGTCTTCGGATGTCGCAGCTTCGCTTTGGTTTCGCTTCGGTTCCTCTCAATTTCAGCATCCAAGCCATGCAGCGGATTAATATGGCTTCCTCTTACACTGGAATCCGCAACATATAGTTTCATAAGTGGTCCTTGTTTCAAAGACATTCAAACACACTCACGCGACAAGGTGCGGGCCCATGCTGGCGTGCACATACTCCGCTTCAACCTTATGGCGTTTGCAGGCCTCGATGTAGGGCCAAGTGTTGTCCTTGAAGGAGGTTACCTCAGCACACCGACTCCTTAAAGGATCTATTCATGGGGAATCTTCTGGGGGCCAGGACCTTTTCCCTAAGGGAACCGGATACACCCTGCAAACGCAAAAAACAGGGGTCCTTCAGCATGGTTCTAAACATGTCTGCTTTTTGCTCCGAAATGCCTTCCACAAGAATACGCACATGGAAAACTGAAAAGGAGAATCAAAGGAAACCTAACCACAACGAGGCCAGGCAAGGCCTTAAGGGCCGGGATTCTTTGAGTAGGGCGTCCAAGTTGATAGGGTCGGCTTTGAGAATTGCTGTCACGAATTTGTAAAATTCACCGGGCTCCCTGTAAGTCTCCGGTTGGTGGCTTAAACATGCATCACGTTTTTTGCAAATTCAAAGTGCGCTTCTTTTTGGTGAGGTGATGCTCACAGGGAAGTATATAGGGAACCCTGGCTCACCCTGGCTCGTCAACCTCAACCCGCGAGGGACCCTCCCCCGGCCTCGGCCTCAAGGGGTCACAATCGAAACCTGGTACTGAACGTACCGAAGGGGCCTACCGAAACCCATGTGAAGACTCAAAACGGCGGCTGCAGCTATTTTGATGGCTCGGACTGTCCTTTGAATGTGGCCACCCCTCACGTCTCTGTGGCAGGGTCCAAGTAATATGTTCAGGTGCTGCATATGTGGGAAACCCTTTTTGACTCCGTGCCGAATACTCCGTGCCGGACTCACTCTAAAGCGTGGGGAGGGCAATTGGGCATATGGCCAGCCCTTTTGGCTCCGGAGGCTGTGCCGGACACAATCAGAAGCTTCGCAAGCATCATCCGAATGTGGCCAGCCCTTAAACATGAAATACTTGAGGATGACCCCAGCCAAGGGCAGCTTTGAGGGCAGGTCCGTGCCTTCTAAGCCGCGCGACGTCATCTTCGGTGCTCACCACCGCGAACACCGGCGCCGTGCGGCGGCTGACCTCAGGGCATCAGCGCCAATTTGACCAGAGCTGGATGCGCCCGGACTGAGCGCCCTCTGCGAAAATATGCAAGTGAACTTGTTGCAGGTAGGGGAAAACGATGGGAAAATTAGAAAGGTCACCAACATCCAAAAAACCAGCTCCTCCGAAGAAACGGATCCACTGGACTGAAGGTCCGGCATATGGATCCCTAAACAAAGCGGGGCGAAACGCCGCGCCTTGGGCACGGTGTTGAAGTCCGTGCCCGGGTACCCCAGGCGAGCTTTCCAAGGGTCCCACAAAGGCGTCTCCACGTTCGTGGTGGCGTAGAGCAGGATCTCAGGTCCGAGATCCGTTTAACCATGGAATCACCAAATCCTGAATCAAGTGATTGGAAAATCTGCTAGGGCTTCATGTTTCAAAGGGGTTAGGAGGGTTTCAGGCTTAGCGTTTCGGCCTGGGGTTTCGTGGATCAACTAGCTTCGCAGATGAAAAAATATTTCCTGAACAAGTGAGCCGAATTTTCTCTCTTACACGGAACACACAAAGGCTTAAAGGGGCGATTGGGTACGCAGTAAGTGGTTAGTAAGCCTGGTTTTAACCCACTTAGACTTATCACCATGGCTTTTGTCTTTTATAGCCAGGCCTACTAACCACTTACTAAGTACCCAATCACCCCTTTAAGTATTAATCAACCATGATCCCAAGCAATCCCCTATACTCAATTCCTGCGTGGATTGGCCCGAAAAATGTCCAAACTCTTTACGACGCTCTTCCCAAAAAGTTCAAAGTCCAGGAGCGGAGGGAGTGAGTTCTGTGACGTAAGTTTACTTCCCCCCACAACCACGTCACTCGCCCCCCCCCTTTTCCCCGGCTCGCCTGAAAGGCGGGCGGCGGCTCCAAGCAAGTGGCGGCCACCGTCGCAAGGTGCCCACCCGCCGAAAAGCCCAGCACGCCGATCCTTGCAACCCGCAAAGCAGAATGCAGAGCCCGCCTCCCAGGCCGCTTTGTTTGGCCAAGAGCTGGACTCCTCCGGTTGTTGGCGCAGATTGCCCGACGGGCGAATGACAAACGGGCCGTGGACCTAAATCCTGCTGCGGGTCATGCGATGTCATGCGCATGACTCCCTCTTGGGAAACTTAAACTTACAATGGTTGTCTGAATCTGTTCACGACCAACCAAGTGAAAAAAAAACAAAAAAAAACATATGTTTTGACCAAGCCTCAAACCAATTTACGTGCTTCAAACGGATATGGATAACTCGGAGGTTGATCCCTGTTGGCTTTGGGCCTATGTCCGGGTCCAAGCCAGTAACCAGCAATGGTGCCAGGTGCCGGTGACAGTTCAAGCCAAGTTCACCAAAATATATTCTCTGTGTTGCACATGGCGCCCTAATTGGGATTGACACCCCAAAATTTGGATAAGCGGCAACCATGTTCGTTGAGAAGAGCGGTGCTTCCAGCTACAACTATAATAGGCAACCAAGGGAAAACATGGTGTAAAAACCTTGAGGAAAATCGGTTGACACACGACGCCACGTGATTACTATATTGTTTGCCCTTACAATGCGAAAACCACACAAATCGCAGTTCACTAGCCGACAACCCTATTCTAATGACCTAGGCTCGTTTAGCAACTGCCACGGTCCCAGTTGCCACTGACCCCGGTAGAACAAGGGAACCCTTTTCCATGTTCAGCTGGGGAACCCGCGCAAAAACGGGAAGGGCGGAATTAATTGCGAAGTCTAAAGTCCAGAAATTGGGAAAGTAAATCTTTGACCCCCTGGACAGTGTTCAACCTCTTGGCACGTGTTTGAAACATGCATTCTCCAAAATGTGGTTTTCGGGAAAAATCCACGAGCAATTGGGCAGTGGCAAGTGCAAACAGCACTGACCCCGCCCAACTGCGCATTGTCCCTCTCCTAGCCGGGTCGAAGCCTTCTCTCGCGGCCTCGGCAAAAGGAGAGCACCCCATCTGCCTGCAACAGTGCGGGTGGTGAAAAATGGTTGTGGAAGGTGGTATTGGTTGCAGTTTTTTTGTTGCGGCTTTCTAGGCTCCCTGCACAGTCAGCAGCCCAAGGGGAAACTCATTGGACATTGCCAGCCAAACTCGGCTGCTCTCAGATCCCCTGCTAAAACTGACTAACTCTTAGTTGGCCAAATGGACTTCAAAACCAAATGGGAACCAAAAGGATCCGCTGATTCGCTGATTCGGGATCTGCACCTGCCCCGGCTCCCCGCCTCCGCGCGCATCTGCTCGAGCGCCAGCTCGCAGTCCT